TAGCAGGGAAATGACAAGATAAGGTCTGCACATTAAAATCTGAATTATTCTGACTATTATATAGAACCAAAGAGGTGAGTTGGCTGACGCTAAAGTTCAGGCAAGAGGTAATGACTGGACTAGAGTTGGTGCAATGATGATGAGGAGTGGTAACAGTTGGGATGTATTTTTGGAGGTGGGTGAGATAGAGTTGGGGAGGGAGTGAAAGGGAGTGAATCAGGAATGACTCCTTTGTGTTTGGTCTGAGCAAAAATAGTGACTCTACTATTAGAGAAGGTAGGATTTTGCAATTAATCATATTCCCAGTCTGTGGATAGATGTGTGTATGTTTGTATGTGTGTGTATGTGTGTCCTTTCCACAGAGTTTTCCAATTCCTCAAGGGACTTATTGTTGACTACTCCTTTATTTCACGCTCTGTGGAGATGTCTCATCAGCTACCCTATGACCTGGTATGCATGTAGACAAGATTCAGTTGTCTGGCACAATGTTTTAGGAAATTACAAATACTGGAGAATTGCATATAATTCTCTAGTATTTTATATATATATTATATAATTACAAAATTATATAATATAATAGTATTATATATAGTATTTATATATATGTATATAATACTAGAGAATTATAGTATTACATATAAATTCAGATTTCCAACTTCTTTTGAAAAATGAGAAGTTTTGCCAACAGGACCTGAATTTCCACTGGCCACCCTTGGCTGGAACTGAGATAGCTGCCACTTCAGCCTTCAGAGCAAGCTGATTTTCCAGGTGGGACTGGGGTCTGCAGGTCTGCTTTACTCAGTTATACCATCACATGTAGGTGTTTGTAGCCCTCGCTCCCCAACAGATTCCTGGTTTCTCCTCGTTCATTGTGGTGACAGTTTGCCTTTGTGCTGTAAGATTTTAAAATCTAGTGGTAGTAGTGGTCCAGCTACTAGTGTTAATAACATTGGTCTCTTTTGTCAAAATGGTGATGTTAGATAGAAATGAGAGGTGGGGACAGTCAAAGCTGGTCACTGCAGGACCATAACTGGTCACTCCAGGACCGTATCATCTGTCATCTGGATTCATACCACATACACGTTGCTTTTTTTTTTGAGACAAGGTCTCACTCTGTCACCCAGGTTGGAGTACAGTGGTGTGATTATTATAGCTCACAGCAGTCTCAAACTCCTGGGTTTAAGCAATCCTCCTGTCTCAGCCTCTTGAGCAAATATATATTTTTATAGAGTCTAGTCTTGCTATTGTCTAGGCTGGTCTTGAACTCCTTGCCTCAAGCAATCCTCTCTCCTTGGCTTCCCAAAGTGCTGGGATTACAGGAGTGAGCCACCGTGCCTGGCCTCTTTTAATTTTTTTTTTTAAGTTAAATGTGACCCAAGACTTATCTGAATCCCCAAGTTCAAGATTGTTCATTTGTACCATTTTTTATTTATTGGAAAACTATGAAAACCTCTTGTAAATGAGGAGGGTGACCTGAACTTGGCATTTCTGCAGGACCAAGCACAAAGGAGGTATTCACCATATATTTGTTCAATTGGATTATGAAGCTGTATTCCCTCTGTCAGAGAAGTCTCTGCAAATAAGTCTTTGCAGAGATTTCACAATTTAAATAAGAGGTTAATTGTCAAGATGAATCAGTTTTTATTTTTGTTAAAAGATGACTTCTGACATTTCCAAACTATTTCCCAGAGTAGATCCCATGTGATACTGAAACACCAGACATGCTGTAAAGTGGTGTGCTAGGAAAAAAGTCTTCATTTTGAATTCATTGAAATGTGGTATATATCTTGTTGCCCTCTTTGGGAAGTCATTAAATGTAACCCATTCCACTTCCAGTGATTAAATATTTCCTTCCCTATATGTCACAGTCCTGTACCCTCATCATTTTAGTGGTTATATAGCACAGATCTTGAGAATGTGAGTTTGGAACCAAATTTTTAGTATCATATCCTCGTTTCGCCTCTCACTTGTCATGTCACTTCTGTCTCATTTTCTTCACCTGTAAAATGGGCACTATGATGGTATTAACCTTAAAATAGTATCATAAAGAAGTAACTAGTACTTGTGAATAATACATCCAAATCTCTATTAGAGCATATCTGATATATGGTAAGTGCTTGCTACTGTTATGTCTAAGAACATTTCACATTTCTACTGCCTATTTTTTTGTTTTTATTTTAAAGATGTGGGCTACAATTCAGGGTTAAGTATACAAATGTTCATTATGCAGGTAACCTTCTTGATGAGTTGTGCCCTTCACTCCCCTAGCAGTTTCCTACTACTGCCAATCCCACCCCCCAACTCCCCTGGTAGTTTCCCGCTACTCCCAATCCCTTTCTTATAGAATTATGGCTACTGCCTGTTTTTGTATGGCCCATGAGCTAGGACCTGTTTTTACATTTTTAGGTGTTTGCAGAAAATCAAAAGAAGGCTAATATTTTGTGACATGATATTCAAATTTCAGAGTCCATAAATAAAATTTTATTGGAACATAGTTGCTTCAGTTGCCTCATTTTTTAATATATTGCCTGTGGCAGCTTTCACATTATGGCAAAAGGTTGCTACTTGTAGGAATATAGCCCTACGGGTCATCATGTGACAAATTAGTGAATTTGAGACTTGTGAGTTGATGCTAACACATTTTTATGTTCAAAGCCTGCTTTTTTACCTTCCTGCCTGAGATGAAGGAGTGCTTGTTTTCTTAGTCCTTTTAGATATTGTTGATATTTTATGGCACTTTTATGACAGTAGAAAACACTAAAGTTATGCTTGTGGCATAAATGATAATATCAACCATGTACTAAACATGCCATCTTTGTTTTCAGCAGATACACAAATAGATACAGAAAGGTCAAGCAATTTCCTCCCAATTCTGCTGCTAATAAGAGTCTTTTTGCCTACAGGTGGACCTTCATAGTTATTTCTAATACGGACAGATTTTTATACTTTTAAAATATTATGCTGTTTTTGGTTTTTTAATTTTTTAATTTATTTTTGGAATTTGAACAGTGGATTTGAGAAGGATTAAATGCTGCTCAGATATTGTATTAACTACTTTTACCATCAGTATTTCCTAAGATCCTTTCTGTGCCTAGATAACCTCTTTTATTTGTCCATGCACTTTGCCTATGTTCTTGTTGCTTTGCTATGACTAAGACCTGTAAGGGAATCTCATTATTTGGTGGCTAATTCTCAACCCTTTGGTTGTTTGTGGGAGGAGGAGGATGAGGGCTGGGCAAAGGACGAGGACCACTTCAACGCTTTGCTTTTACTAATATTGATAGCAAGTCTTCAGTGTACAGGAAATTTCCCCTTGTTCTGCTTCCAGGAGTCCTGCCTGAGACTCCTGCATCATGCAAATCTGTTACTGTGGTCCTTGGAGATAACCTTTGTGTCCCTGACCCTATCACTGACCATGAAAAAGATAGCTGGGGATAGAAAAACCGCTTTGTTTCAGATACAAATAAGTATCGGTTTATTCTTTACTGATTCTGTGGTGAAAATTCTGCTGTACTTTCTCTTATTTAGAGTATATGATCCATGCAAGAGGTGCATTATTAAAAATTATTAGTTGACTATACCTAACACTTACAAACAGGTAAGGAATAAGGAAGGGAGGAAGAAAGGAGTAATGCAACATTTTTGGGAACTTCAGAATGGCTTCCTCATCACCCTCTCCATTTCAAGCTCAGAGTAAAATTTTGCTTCACATGACCGATATGTATTTATTTTTTAATGTGAGAATTACAGAAAGATGAATAATTATTGGTTATAAAATATTATTGACAGGAACTAGGAGATTCCATTTTAGAAGGGAATCCCTTGATCTAAGATGATATATTTATTACATTTTGTTTTATAGTTTTCAGGGTTTTTCATATATTATTTTATTTTTTTATCTTTCTAATAACTTGTAATTTATAAGGAAGTTAGGTAGCTGGGCCAGGTTCATCAGGTAGTTAATGGTCAAACTGGGCTTAAAACCAAGGCTTTCTGATTTTCTATGCGGTGATCACAGTGTTACACACAACCTATCCTATCAAAGACGGGTAAGGATCTGTCGGACTTACAGTGAATAGAGTGGAATTTTCTGGCATCAGACACGGGTATGATTATCTGTGGAAGTTAATGTTATTTATTAGTCAGAGACAAGAATTTAGGAATTCTGTAAATTTTATCAGTCTAAGTCCTAGATTGGTGCTAGACTTAAACACAGAGCCCAAAGTGCCTTAAATTGTTAAGGAATTAATGACCAGGTATATGCACTTAGGACTTCAGTGCTGAAATTGATGAAAAAAAAAATCACCTGTTCCTATAGTGGAAATTCCAAAAGACATCTTTATACCGTGAATATGAAATCCAGCCATGGGGTTGGGCACAGTGGCTCACACCTGTAATCCCAATACTTTGGGAGCCTTAGGAGGGAGGATCACCTGAGCCCAGGAATCTTTGACTGTGGAGAGCTGTGAACGTGCCACTGCATTTCAGAGCCTGGCAACTGAGTGAGATACCAGGAAAAAAAAAATCTAGCTATCAGGTAAGAACCCGCACACTTAGTTGACCTCTGCACCCAGGTGCTATGTGCTCATTCATATTTTTAAAGCATTTCTCTGTCTTTGATTTCTCAGGAACATATACAATACTCAAGACACATTAACATTAACCATAGCTTTATTTGCTCCCTCTCTAGGAAATAATGCAATTTATATCTTTCAGTTTAAAATGTTCTTTATGGGATTTCAAAATTCTTGGCATTTGTACTTTTTTCTTTTTTTAAAAAAAGCAGGATTTATTAAGAGGACAGAAAAGCTCCCACAGTGGGAGGGGAGCCGATGGGGTTGCCCTGTACTTCTTTCTATACAAGGCAAACTTGGGTAGTCTGTAGATCATCTAGAATTTTTTAATTGGGAAAAAATGAAATTCCTCATTAATCTGCTAGGTATATACGGGATTTCTGCTGTTGAAGTAACCCATATTTTTTCTTTTCCTTTTTTTTATAGAGTGGGAAGCCACCCATCAATGATATGTTCACAGACCTCAAAGATGGAAGGAAGCTGTTGGATCTTCTAGAAGGCCTCATAGGAACATCCCTGGTGAGTGAGTCATCTTTGAGAATGAAGCTAAGGGAATATCTCTGACCATTACTGATACTTGATGACCCCAGTAGGTAAACTTTAAAATGTAAAAGTTGAAGGAGGAGCATTTTATTTATTTATTTATTTTTCCATTTAAAAAAAGTGTCTTAGGTAATGCTTTGGTAGAAGAATTTTTCGGATTTTGTGAGGCCTCGATTTTTAGCAAAGATAAAATTACTTTAAATGTGTGTTGCTCTGGGACAGCCCAGGTTGAGAATTTAAAACAAAATAGATTTGTAAAGATGGCATGTTTTGAATAGTGGAAAGTCTAGAGGCAAACATATTTGAATCTTAAATATTTTGAAAAATAGTTGTTAAAGACTATGGCAACTGTTCTGATCCAGTTTTTGGTATTATTTTCATTGGGCTTCTCCTTCAAATCTAACTTTATTACTTTATGTATGAAGTATATATTACTCATGCAGAGGTAATTCTGCTCATGGAGAGGATGCATTTTATGGGTACAAATGTGAACAGTAGATGTAGAATTATCATAATAATATAGAGAGAGCCACTTTCGGCGATGACTTTCTTTCTTGTTCAAGTGTGGGGTGTCATACTCTCCATTTGCCCTTCAGGCGGTGGGCAGATACCTGCTGGAAAGACTGATCTCTCTCTCTCAGATAACATTCCCTAGCCAGTGAAGTAGAAAGAAGCTGCCTGGATTGCCTTTCCCAGGAGAGAATGTCTGCCTTCTGAGTGGGCTCTGTTAATTCTACCTGGGTCCTGGAATAGTGCCTCTAAATCCTGCTTGCTCTGTCCACACCTGGGCAGTACAAAGCAGACACAACTTCTAAAGCTTCCTGCACCCAGATCAATTTAGATAAAAGAAGCTTCATTCCTAGAGCATCGATTTCCAAACATGGAATTAGAATCACTTGGATTGGTTTTAATATCATGGGCAATCTTTTAAAAATTCCAAATCCATGCCACACCCTAGGCCCATTAAGTCACAGTCTTCGGGGGTGGGGTACAGGCATTGATATTTTTTTTTGAAACTGCCTAGAAGATTCCAATATGCAGGCAAGTTAAGGAGCTGGGATCTTAAGGTGTTGTTAGTTGGAGGATGTGCGAATTGTAAACACTAACCTTCAGGATGGTGGCCCGAGACATCAGCCAGAGCTCCTGCCTCCACGGGGCCTGTGTGCCGAACTGCTGTTCTAGATACATCTCAGTGTCAGTGCTTGTCAGGCACATGGAGGGACAATCAGTCTTATTTATGTTTGTGTTTTATTTTCCAGCCGAAGGAACGTGGCTCCACAAGGGTACATGCCTTAAATAACGTCAACAGAGTGCTGCAGGTTTTACATCAGAATAATGTAAGCTTGTAATGTGAATTTTGGGGTTCCGTGCTGCCATTAGCATTATTTATTGTGAAACAACCACCTGTTTGATGCATTGGCATGAACTGATACTTGGAAACATTTTTTTTTTTTTAAGAGAAATATTGAAGCTTTTCTGTGAGTGAGGGAACAGTCGTGCTTTTTCTGATGCCTTTACTAATGTGTTGTATAAATAATGCAATAAAATTTGTTATTGTGTTATTTACCATAAATTTATTGTAAAAATAATACATTTTAGGTTTACCTGATTCTCTAAAATGAAATTACTCTTATCACTCACTTATATTGCTGTCCAAATGTTCCAAAACAAAAACCTGGAGTTGAAGAAATTGTCTTAAAAGTGACATTTTTGTTTTAATAGGTGGAATTAGTAAATATAGGTGGAACTGACATTGTAGATGGAAATCACAAACTGACCCTGGGATTACTTTGGAGCATCATTTTGCACTGGCAGGTGGGGACATTTCTAATAACTTTTTGATAGAAGTTGACAATGTATTGTTTGTGTGTAGATTTCTGAGGACTGCCATAACCAAGTACCACAAGATGCTTGGCTTGAACAACAGAAATGTGCTGTTTTGCAGTTTTGGAGGTTATAAGTACAAGGTTAAGGTGTCTGCAGAGTTGATTCTTTATTAGTGCTCTGAGGGAGGTTCTGTCTTATGCCTCTCTCCCAGCTTCTCGTGGTTGTCTTTGGGGCTCCTTGGCCTGCAGCAGCATAACTTCAGTATTCACATGACGTCTTCCCTGTGTGCATGTCTGTGTCTAAATGTCCTCTTTTTGTAAGGACACCAGTCATATTGGATTTAGGGCCTATGCTACTTCTGTGTGTAATCATCTTAACTAGTTACATCTGATTTTCAAATCAAGCCTCATTTTAAAGTACTGGGGGTTAGGACATCAGCATATTAATTTTAGGGAACATAATTCAACTCAACAGTTTAGAATGAAAGAGGCTGACAAAATGCTCTATTTTCTTGGCATAGAAAAAAAGCAACTACTTTTAAGTGTTATATTTAACAAATAGATGCATCTGATATGTAGAAAAGTTGCAAGAATTGTTTAAAGAATTTCCAAAATATCCTTCACTCAGAGTCCCCAAATGTTAACAGTTGCCTGTATTTCCTTTGTGCACTCTCTCTCTTCTGCCTAAATACTTCAGTGTGTATTTTCTAAAAACAGGACATTCTTCTAAAAGCAAGGAACTCTCTTACATAAGCCCGATATTATTTTGATAAAATAAAATATATATTAATATTTATAATGCTAATATTATATGATATGATTATTACATTACATCTAAAACAATTTATAATTATTAAAGTCAAGAAAACAACATTGAAATAATGCAATTGTGTAATGTACAGATCTTAAGAAGATTTTGTTAATTGCCTCAATAATATCCTTTGTAGTAAAAGAAAATCCAAGATCATGCCTTTATTTGTCATGTCTCTTTAGTCCTCTTTAATCCTGAATCAGTTTTTGAGCCTTGATATTGATTTTGCTATTCTTGTTGTTGAGTTGGGGTCTTACTCTCTTGCCTCGGCTGGAGTGCAGTGGCACAGTCACGGCAATCACGGCTCACTGCAGCTTCGATTTCCTGGGCTTAGGCAATCCTTCCACCTCAGCCTCCTGTGTAGCTGGGACTACAGGCACAGATTACCATGCCCAGCTAATTTTTAAATTTTTATTTTCATTGAGAAAAAGTCTCACTATTTTGCCCAGGGTGCTCTCAAACTCCTGGGCTCAAGCGATCTTCCTGCCTTGGCCTCTCTAAGTGCTGGGATTACAGGCGCGAGCCATCACACCCAATTGGTTATTTTGTAGAATGTATCTCCATGTGGGCTTGGCTGAGGTTTCCTCAAGATTAGATTCAGGTTATTCATTTTTGTCAGGAATGACTCAAAAGTGATGGGAGTTCTTCTAAGTGCACCATATCAGGGGCACGTGCTGTCTGTTCATTCTTTTTGTGGCAGTGTTAACTTTGATTGGTTAAGGTGGTATCTGCCAAGTTTCTTCACTGTGAATTGATTACCCTTTGTTACTAAAAGTATCTTCTGGTGAAAAATACTTTGAGGTTGTGTAAATATTTGGTTATTATCAAACTTTTATTTGTTAGCTTTAGCATCCATTCACAATTTTTCCCCGGGTCAGTTACTATTATGATACTTGACAAGTAATAATTTCCTAATTTCATCATTCCTTATACATTTATTAGTTGACTTTCTGCTTGTAAGAAAGAGCTCCCCATTGTCTCTTGTTTCTCTGTCTTATCTGTCCATTCACTCATTCATTCACATATCAATGTAGACTCACGGTTTTTTATGTAGGTTATAATCTTTTGCACTTACTCATTTTGCTGTTCAGGTTGTCCTAGATTTGGCCAGTGTGAGCCCTTTGAGTTGTCTTCTGTGTCCCTTTAGCAAGTCCACATCATTCACTGAGCACGTTCTTAGACCGTATGTACTACTTTAGAATAATAATAGTAAATGTTAGTTCTAGAGTATAATTGTTATTGCTATCAGGAAAGGAACTTCATTCTTTGATTTCATCAGTCAAAAGTTCTTCCTTATTTTTGTAGAAAATAAAGATTAGATTTTCTTTATTTGAAAAGATTTTTATAAATGTATAGTGTTAAAAATATAATATTTTTGACTATAGAAGTATTATTCATTGTATCCAAATATTACAAGTATTGTCTAAGATATAGAAAATACAGTAATGTGTAAAAATGAGGTAAGAATTGCTAATAAATCCTTGTACCAAAAATAATCAGTATTAAAATGCATATTTCTAATGCTTAAAGAAAAAATTGAAATAAAATGAATCCTGATGACCTGATCCATAATGGTTATTTAGTCTAATATTACGTATTCGAGGGCTTGACTGAGTCAACTGAATTAATAATAGGCAGGTCTGGTTTCTCTTAATAGGTAAAAGATGTCATGAAGGATGTCATGTCAGACCTGCAGCAGACAAACAGCGAGAAGATCCTTCTGAGCTGGGTGCGTCAGACCACCAGGCCCTATAGCCAAGTCAATGTCCTCAACTTTACCACCAGCTGGACAGATGGACTCGCCTTTAATGCCGTGCTCCACAGACATAAGTGAGATGTTTCTCTATTTAGAAGTGGGCCTTGCAAATTTGTGTCTCCTCTCAGTCCCTCCCCTGCTACTGCCACTTCCGGAAGCCCCTTCCCTATGACCACTGCTCTCTTCCCTGCACATGCTTTACCAAAACCTTAAGAAAAGAAATATGGAAGAAAACTACCGATTAGGTCTTTGTTTCTTTAGGACTTAAATGCCACGATGGAATGTCCATGGTTTCTCCTGCATATTTATAAGTTAAAAAATGTGAAATAATTCACATAGTTCAATCCCACTTATTCAGCACTAATGGTAATGGCAAAAAAACATTGTGTTCACTTTTTGGTGCCACAAGTGAAGCTCTGTAAGTCAGTGCAATCTCAATTAAAAATAGTGAGTGATATTTTTTTGAAAATAGTAAACAGATTCTAATTATATAAAAGACCAAAGGCCCAAGAATAACCAGTGCACTTCTAAAGAAGAACTAGACTGAAATACTTTCCAGAAAGAAACCAAAGCTAACTATGAAGCTGTATTAATTAAGACTATGCAGTACCCTAAATAAATAAATACACCAATATAATAATGAGCTGAACCATATGACATTGCCAATACTTAACTGTTTTTGATGTATAAGAATGACAGTTTCACAATGGTTCAAATTGACAGAATTAAGAGCTCGGAAATTGCTCAGTTACCTGATCAGTTAAACCTGATATACAACTGAGCTGATATTGCAGATTAATGGAACAACTGGTTATCCATATGTAAATAAGTGCATTGGATTCTTCCCTCATCATCCAAAAAAATACATACAACACAGATCAAGAATTTAAATCTGAAAACAGAATTTATGTTTTATTGTTGTTATAAGTGACCATTTTTCTCAAGTTTTATTTCTTGTATGTCCTTTGCTAGCATATAAAAATGCAATATATTTTTCTTCATCTTGTCTCTGGAAATGCATTCAATTGCAGTATAACCTTTAACTTCTATTAAAATACATAATATTATATCTATATTAAAATATAACATTTAAGTTCTATGTAGTAGAAATGATAAAATCTGATGAATTTTAGTAAGTTTGTCTCTACAGACTGTGGGGTGTTTTGTGTGTGGTGGGCTAGACTGTCCTTGAATTATGAACCTTCCATTTCTTCTCTTTTCTTTTGTGTTCTTCATTGTGCCTTGTCCTTCAATGCAATGATGATTTGAATTGGCGATAATGAGTAGAATGTTTTGTTCTTGATAACAAAGGGAGTGCTTTTATGGTTTTACCAGAAGCGTGTTGTTTGTTGTAGTTTTTTTGATACACTTTTTCTGAGGTTAGAGAATCTCTCCCTCCCAGTCTTTTCCCATTCTTCCTTTATCAGTTTAAGGAGACTGCCTCTGTTTCTAGTTGGTTAAAGCATTTTATCAAGAAACTGTTTAGTTGTAGCCAATACTTTTTTCCATTTATTAATTAATTGATTCAAGAAATGTATGTGGAGTGCCTTCTATGTGCTAGACACAGGGTGCACAGTGAAGAATAAAACAGGAAAAAGTCTTAGTTTTCTTGAGGCTTGTATTCTAACAGAGGGAGACAGACAATAAAATAAATTGAAAATGTAAGTTGTATAGTATGTAGAAATAGTAAATATGCTGAAGAAAAAAATGAGAGGGTACCAAAAAAACTCTGGAATTATCTTTTGGAGGGTGGGCCTCTTGTAGGACAGGCTTATCCTGTTGGGTTAGTGTTCTAGGAACCCATCTGCATCAGTGTGCCAGCTTGCATTGTTGTGAGAGACTTTGTTTGGCTTCAGTGAATTTTTTTGGAGATTCTTTCAACATGTTGCCCCTTTCATGATGGGTGATTTAAAGGCACACCTGCCCATGGAGCTGAGTGTTCAGCAGATTTTGACGCAAAACAGCATGATCCCTGGGCCTCACCCACCCTATTCATTTGATCTTGCCCTGAGCAACTTTTTTTTTTTTGTTTCCCCGGATGAAAAAAGTCCTCAAAGGGAAACATTTTGCTGATGTAGAAGAGATGAAATGAAAAATGGCAGAAGCACTAAAAGGCATCAAAATCGATGAGTTCAAAAACTGTTTTGAGCAGTGGGAAGTGCCTCGGTAGGTGTATTGCGTCAAATGGAGAGGACTTTGAAGGTGACTGAAGTTTAAACATATGATGATAAAAAATACACAATTTTTATAGATAAATTCCAAGTTTTTTGGGTCCTCCCCTCCCTCATCAGGCAAGAAGGAAGGAGGCACTGACATAGAGGAGGCCAGTGGCTGCTGTGACCTGAGTTGAGGGAGTAATAGGAGATGAAGTCAGGGAGGGAGTTGGGGGATAAATCCTGAAAGATGGGTCTAAGACGCAAGAACAGACACAGCACAGGAACATCATTAACTTGTGGGTACATCAAAGAAACAATAATGTCCAATATGTGGAATTAAAAGAAAATCAAGATAGAAACGAAATACAGTACTAGACAGCGGTAGCGTACAAGGGGGATTTGGAGGGAATCCCTCTCAGAACCTTTGCTTTAGGAATTTTCTTTGAACAGATTAGAGCTGGATTTTCTATTTCCTTAATCTAGATCTTTTTTAGACTTTTTTTTTTCTTTTAAAGATGTGGGGATTGGGTACATAAGTGGTCTAGGTAAAGGTGAATTTTGGGCCTCCTATTGGACCTCACTTTGCCTGGATTGGGATCATGCACCCTTATTGATATTGTCTACACTCCCCCCTGCACAAGTGTCTCACTACTGTCAATCCCTTTCTTGTAGTATTACAATAGGTGTTCAGGGTCTATTTATGAATAAGAATATATAGTACTCAGTTCTTTGTTTCTGTGATAGATCACTGAGACTGACAGACTCTAAATCCATCCAAATTGCTGCAAAGTCCATAATTTTGTCTTTCTTTATGATTGCATAATATTTCATCATGTATATGTGCCACATTTAAAAAAAATCCAGTCCACTTTCAATGGGCAGCATGTTTGGTTCCATGTTTTTGCTATCGTGACTAGTGCTGCAATAAACATGCATGTGTAGGTATCTTTTTTGTAGAATTATTTGAGTTACTCTGGCTATATTCCCAGAAGGGGGATTGCTTGGTCATATGGAAGGTCAATTTTTAGTTATTTTAGAAATCGCCACACTGGTTTCTATAAAGGTTGAACTAGTTTGCATTCCCACCAACAATGTAGAAGTGTTCCCTTTTCTTTGCATGCTCATCATCATCTGTTTTTTGTTTTATTAATGATAGCCATTCTTACTGGAGGTAGGTGGTATCTCAATGTGGTTTTGATTTGTATTTCTCTGATGATTAGTGAGGCTGAGCATTTTCTCATGTGTCTGTTGGCTGCTCCTATGTCTTCTTTTGAGAAGTATTCCTGTCTTTTGCCCACTTCTTTTATTAGTTAATTAATTTTTATTTTAAAGATGTGGGGTACAATTCAGGGTTAAGTATACAAATGTTCATTATGCAGGTACCCTTGTTGATAAAGTGTTCCCTGCCTCCCCCCACTGCAGAATCTGCAATAAACATGCATGTGCAAGTATCTTTTTCATAGAGTGATTTGAGTTCCTCTGGGTATATTCCCAGTAGGGGGATTGTGGGGCCATATAGAAGGTTGATTATTAGACCTTTTAGGAATCGCCAAACTGTTTTCCACAGATGTTGTACTAGTTTACTCTCACTAACAGTGTAGAAGTGTTCCCTATTCCTGGCATCCTCTCCAGCATCTGTTGTTTTTTGAGTTATTGGTGTTGGCCATCCTGACTGGAGTTAGGTGGTATCTCAGTGTGGTTTTAATTTGCATTTCTTTGATGACTAGTGAGACTGAGCAATTTTTTCATGTATCTGTTGGCTGCTCATATGTCTTCTTTTGAGAAATATCTATTAATATATTTTGCCCACTTTGTAATGGGGCTGTTTGTTTTTTTCTTTTTGGTCCGTCTGAGTTCTTTGTAGATCCTTTATCAGATACACAGTTGACAAATATTTTTTCCCAGTCTGTGGGCTGTCTCCCTGCTCTCTTGATAGTTTCTTTGGCTTTGCAGAAGCTTGTCAGTTTGCTGAAGTCACACTTGTCTATCTTATCTCTTATGGCATGGGCACTTGGGGTTTTGAACAGGAATTGATTGCCAGTTCCAATTTCCATAGGGGTGTCTCCTGCATTTTCTAAGGTTCTTATAGTTTGAGGTTTTTACATTTAGGTCTTTGATCCATTTAGAGTTGACTTTTGTGTATGATGATAGGTAAGGGTCTTGTTTTAATCTTCTGCATGTAGTCAGCCAGTTTTTGCAACACCATTTACTAATTAGGTTCTTCTCTCCCCAGTGGTTGGTGGTGGAGGCTTTGTCGAAGATGAATTGGTTGAGAAATTGAGGTTTTGCTTCTGGAATCTCTATCCTGTTCCATTGATCTATATGCTGTTATTGTACCAGTACCAGACTGCTTTGATTATTGTCAAAGTTTCAGGGTATAAAATAAATGTGCAAGACACCAACAATAAACAGAAACCCAAATAAAAAGCACAATACTATTCACAATAGCCAAAAAAAAAAAGAAGAAAAAAAGAAAAAAAGAAATACCTTGGCATCTTCCTAACCAGAGATTGCAAAAGACCTTTACAATGAAAACTATAATGCATTGCTCAAAGAAATCAAAGCCGGCACAAACAAATGGAAAGACATTCCATGCTCATAGATCGGAAGAATCAACATTGTTAAGATGTCCATTCTACCCAAGGCTATCTACAGATTTAATACATACCCATTAAATTACCAGCAGCATTCTTCTCATACTTGGAAACTACAATATAGGAATTCATATGGAAACATAACAACCATGAATAGCCAAAACAATCCTCAGGGGAAAAAAAAACCCAGCAAAGCAGGAGGTATCACACTCCCAGACTTTAGGCTTTATTATAATGCCCACTTCTTAATGGGGCTGTTTGTTCTTTTCCTTTTGGCATATTTGAGTTCCTTGTAGATCCTGGATGTTACGCCATTGTCAGATATGCAGGTGGCAAATATATTTTCCCATTCTATGGTCTGTCTCCCCACTCTCTTGATGGTTTCTTTTGCTTTGCAGAAACTTATTAGTTTGATGAGATCCCATTTGTCTGTTTTATCTCTTATGGCATGGGCATTTGGGGTTTTGATCAGAAATTGGTTGACTATTTCAGTTTCAGTAAGAACATCTCCTGTGTTTTCCAAGATTCTTATAGTTTGAGAGTTTACATTTAGGACTTTGATCCATTTAGAGTTGATTTTTGTGTATGGTTATAGGTAGGGGTCCTGTTGTAATTTTCTGCATGTGCTCAGCCAGTATTCTGAGTGCCATTTACTGAATAGGTTCTTCTCTCTCTCCCCAGTGGTTGTTGCTGGAGGCTTTGTCAAAGATGAGTTGGTTGAAAAATTGAGGTTTTGCTTCCAGAGTCTCTTTCATGTTCCATTGGTCTATATGCCTGTTCTTGTACCAATACCAGACTGTTTTGATTATTGTACACTTATAATAAAGTTTAAATTCTGAGAATGTGATACCTCTTGTTTTGTTTCTTTTGCTGAGGATTGTTTTGGCTATTTGTGGTCATTTTTGTTTCCATATGAATTTCTGTATTGTCATTTCCAGGTGTAAGAAGAATGATGGTGGTAATTTAATTGTTATTGCATTGAATCTGTAGATTGTCTTGGGTAGGATGGACATCTTAACAATGCTGATTCTTCCAATCCTTGAGCATGGAATATTTTTGATTTCCTTGAACAGTGTTTTGTAGTTTTTGTTGTAAAGGTCTTTCACTTCTCTAGTTAGAAAGATTCCAAGGTATTTCTTTTACTTATTTATTTTTTGTGGCTATGGTGAATGGGATTTGCTTTTTATTTGGTTCTCAGCCTGTTCAGTGTTGGTGTATAAAAATGTGGCTGTTTTTTGCGCATTGGTTTTATACCCTGAGATTTTGCCAAAGTCCTTTATCAGTGCAAGGAGGTTTTTGACAGATTTCTTTGGGTTTTCCAGGTATAGTATTATATTATCTGCAAAGAGGGATAGCTTAACTTCTACTTTTCCTATATGGATACCCCTGATTTCCTTCTCTTGTCTGATTGTTCAGGCTAGAACTTTCAACACTATGTTGAATAGGAGCAGTGAGAGTGGGCAGCCTTGTCTTGTTCTGTTTTAGAGGAAATGGTTCCAATTTCTATCCATTTGGTAATATGTTGGCTATGGGTTTACCATAGTTGGCTCTTGCTATTTTGAGGCATCTTCCCTCTATACCTAGGTGTTTAAGGGTTTTTATCAAGAAAGGATGCTGGATTTTGTTGAAAGCATTTTCTGCATCTAATGATATAATCATGTGGTTCTTATTTTTACATCTATTGATATATTTAATTACATTCATGGTCTTGTGGATGTTGAACCAGCCTTGCATCCTGGGGATGAAGCCTACTTGGTTATGGTGAATAATTTTTTAGATGTGTTGTTGGATCCAATTTACTAGAATCTTGTTGGGAATTTTTGCATCTATGTTCATCAAGGATATTGGCCTGTAGTTCTCTTTCTTTGTTGGGTCTTTGCCTGATTTAGGTATCAGTGTGATGTTAGCTTCATAGAATGATTTGGGCAGAGTTCTGTCGTTCTCGTTGTCTGGAATACTTTCAATAGGATTAGTATCAGCTCCTCCTTGTATCTTGATCTTTTAATTGAAGAATTTAGTCCATTAATATTGGTTGTAATGATTGATGTATTTTGATTCGTTTTTACCACTTAGTTGAGCTTCTCATTTCTTTTCCCTTTAATGTGTCTTTTTGCTTTCTTGTCTTATTTTGTATTTGTAGGTTTACTTTCCTTTTTTAATTTCATTCTCTGGGAAATATTATATACCAATTCTAGTCTTAATGGTTACACCAGAAATTTACAGGCATATTTAACAAATACAAGATTCTTAGGGTGTGTTGTCAGTTATTTTTATATTTGTAAATTACTTTCAAATAGGATATATTTGACAATCCTCCGGAGTATAAATAAAGTTTCACAAATAAAAAATCTAAAATGGAAATGTATTAGATTATAACAATGCCTACTTTGTTTCCATAAATTTCATCTTCATTGCATTTTATTTGCATGGTGATTTCAGACCTGATCTCTTCAGCTGGGATAAAGTTGTCAAAATGTCCCCAATTGAGAGACTTGAGCATGCCTTCAGCAAGGCTCAAACTTATCTGGGAATTGAAAAGCTGTTAGATCCTGAAGGTACTGTTCAATGTTTATTTTCAACCTTGATTTTGCTTTACAATTTTGCGCACTTAAAAAGCAGTTTTTATTTTTATTTTTAGAATGAGTTATGAGCATTGAGGAACCCTTTTCTTTTTGAAGTATGGGTGCAAGCCATTTTATAGCAGATAAGTTATTAGTACTTTTACACTTAGCAATTTGTAGGATCCTCTAGGTAGAAATTTAATTACAGCACTGAATAATAGTCAATCTAAGTCAAGTAAGATTTAAAGTTTTAAGAAATTATAATTATTAGATAAATAATTCAGTATTTGGCTTAGTTTATTAAAATACATTTTTGTGTGAGCTGCTTGCATGTGATGTAAAGACTTTAGTTACAATTGTTGCAGGGCTGAATTCTAGACTTATTTTCATAGTATGAATGAAGTCTTTGTCTTTATCTTAAATGGCAACAAATGGTAATTTATTTTTGAGCATTCTGGGGAGGCTTTTAGGAAAGATTTTTAAAAAATGAGACACAACAAAAAGAAGTCATCCTCTTTGCCTTTGGTCTCGTATATTATGATATGAAATGGCAATTTATTGAGCTGTGGTATTGCAAGGATCATATATTAGGTATTGTTTATGGGTATTAAGGAGAGTTATTTTATTTCTACTCTTGAGCAATTCACATATTTTGGACACTTAATTTAAGCTGGTTCTTATATCTTTCACTTTTAGATGTTGCTGTTCAGCTTCCTGACAAGAAATCCATAATTATGTATTTAACATCTTTGTTTGAAGTGCTACCTCAGCAAGTCACTATAGATGCCATCCGTGAGGTAGAGACACTCCCGAGGAAATATAAGAAAGAATGTGAAGAGGAAGAAATTAATATACAGGTACAGGTAAATTTTTATTAAGATCTTTGGCCTGCCATATTTGTTTTCTCGTAAGCATAGCTTAGAACCTTCTTAGCATACATTGATTTAAGAAGTTCAGTTTATCAGTTAGCTTGCTGTCACATACATGTCATAGAAAATCCTAACTCAACCAATTTTATTAAAAAGGTAAATGCATTATTTTACACAACAACACTAGAATTACCATCTAGGACTATTGACCATGCTATCGTATGACATGCTAATAACCTATGTTTGCCATCAGTTGGTCGCCAACTTTTATCCCTGTTATCTTGTGCTAAAGGTGATTTTTTTGTGTCAGTCAGTTTTTTTCTGGTTAGTAATTTTCTCTTTATTTTGCCACTAAAAATGATTTTTTTTTTTACTATATTCTTGCAAGGGCTGTCAACATATAAGATTTATTTTCATTTTCATTTAGGAGGTATAATCTACTGTAAGCAACTTGGTGAGTTCATGAAAGGGCTTACAGTAGTGTTATATAGATAGATATAAATTAGTTTTTGGGGGGGAGATAGATATAAAATCATAGTTTATTTTCTTAGTTATCCTGTTTTGAATCAAACCATATTTTTTTTAATTTTTAATTTTGAAGATGTGGGGTACACTTCAAGCTTAGGTATACAAATGCTCGTTATGCAGGCACCCTTGTTGATGAGGTGTACCCCCCTTCCCCTGGCAGTTTCCCACTACTGCCAATCCCGTTCCCCCCCGCCCCCCCAGCAGTTTCCCACCACTGCCAACCTCTTTCTTATTGAATTATGTTAATTGTTCAAGGTCCACTTATGAGTGATAACATGTGGTACTCAGTTCTTTGTTTCTGTGATAGAAACCTCAGTATTATAGACTCTAAGTCTATCCAAGTTCCAGTCCTCTTAATTCAGAAAATGAAATAATTTTGAGTTGGATGAGACTTCAGAAGTCACTTGGTTTCTAATTTTTAGTAACTGGGCAACTGAGAGATACACATGAATTTCAAAATTATTAGAAATATCTTTTACAGAGTCAGAAAGCTCGGGCTGTGGAGTTTAAATTTCATCCTCTTGCTACTTATTTCGGGTTGCTTACTTAGCCTCTCAACCACAGTTTTGTGTGCAAAATGTGATTAAAATTACTCACTTCATAAAGATAATGAATTCAAAGTGTCTAAAATGATATGCACTTGGTAAGCAGCAGGTGTCATTATTACAATCTTTCCTTCAATTTGTTTTGGCATTCTCATTCAAGTTTTTAAAAAATATTAATTCTCATATTATGATAATAGTCTTGAATTGACATAAGCAACATTCTTCCCTCCTCTGAGGTTCAGAAAATTTACTTATCATCTTGAATGTTCTTTTAGTGGTATGTACTAATTCTTTTATTTTCTCTATTTCTTTCTTACTTTTATTTTTTGAGTCAGAGGCTTACTCAGTCGCCCATGCTGGAGTGCAGTGGCACACTCATGGCTACTGCAGTCTTGACCTGCTGGGCTCAGGGGATCCTTTTGCTTCAGCCTCCCAAGTAGCTGAAACTACAGGTGTGCACTACCATGCCTGGCTAATTTTTTGATTTTATTGTGGAAAAGAGGTCTTTCCAAGTTGCCCAGGCTGGTCTCGAACCCCTGGGCTCAGGCAGTCCTTTTGCGTCCGCCTCCCAAGTATTTTCTCTATTTCCTAAATAGATTAGACTATAGGGAGAAAATGCTATTGAGGAAAATGAAGTGAGAGATAGGACCTGGTTGTGAACTGAGGACTCTTTGTAGTAGGTTTGAAAATTGTGACGCTGAGGAAAATTCCTGTCTTAGTATAATTGACTGAAAAAAAATGCTTTATTCCCCCCTAGAAGTGTAGTAATTATTCTGCATTAATGATGCACCTTTAGGTGCCTCAGATAATATTCTGGGTTTGCCTTGTGGTATTAGAATCATTTTTTTATTGGATTTTGTTAGAAAGAGAGGATATTTGAATTCTTACAGTCAAGGCCATTCTCTCTTAAAATAGAAGGAGACTTCATTTGCCTTTCATGATGTGCAGATAAAATAATCACTTCTGTTTACGGTCCAGGGTGGTTTGGTAAGAATTGCAGAAACCATTTGCTGTTTGATTAGGAGCAAGTGTATTAACACTAACCTTTTCATTTGCAAGCATTCATTAGTGCCTTAGAGGTTGAATTACATTAATTGAGAAATAAAGTGTAATCCAGTTTTAATCATCTCCTTTCTGACATAGTTTGCCATCCACTACTCTCCTAATAGCCAGATTTCCTGTCCTGCTCTGTTCTTTCTGTCTACAAACATATCTTGGTGGTCAGCAAGTAATTCCTGTATTTCTCTTTAAATGGCTGTCAGCTGAAAGACTACTCCTGTTTTAATTAATGCATTCTGAACATTTGCATTTAGATAATACCTTCTATCTCCTAGCTCATAGATGCTGGTGACTAAATAAGTGACTGCTGGTCACTAACTTTTCTAGGTCTTAGATATCCTCATAGTCTAGAGGTTTGGGGCTAAATGATCTCCAGGATTATTTTTAGCTATACAATTTTTAAGATTTTAGGCCCAGAATTTAACTCCTTTTCCTTTCTCTGTCTTTGGCACCATCTGTCTCTTAATTACCCAGTGTTTCGATTCTGTGTTCACTGGCAACTCCTGTAGTTTACCAAATTTGATTGATTCTTCCTCTAAAATGTCCTTTGTGTGTTTTCCTTCTGTTCTAGCCTTCATACTAATTAAAGACCTCATTTTCTGTTGTAGTTTATAAGACCCAGCCTACCTGCGCATTGCAGTCAGAGTGGACGTTCTCCTCTTCTTCCCCAAGATTCTTGTACATGCAGGTTCCCCTCTGTGAAAAGCTCCTTCACTCATTATTGCACTGTAGGCTACCCATATTTCCTCAATTCAAATGGAACATTTTCAGAACGTTAGGTTAACGCTAACCTATCAAAATCCAACCTACGTGCTTGTGCACGCTCGCTCTCTCTGTTTCTTGCTATCATAGTATTTTCTATATTAAGAATTTTAAATTGTATCTTTTAAAAATCTTATTTTATTTATTTATTTATATATTTTTTGAGTTGGAGTCTCACTCCGTCGCCCAGACTGGAGTGCAGTGGCATGCTTCCGGCCACCGCAGCCTCGACCTGCTGGGCTCCGGCGATCCTTTCGCCTCAGCCTTC